TAAAATAACATACCCAAAATAAATCAGGAATAACTCCTCAACCATTTGGCCTAGATGCATAATTCTAGTCTCCTTTGAAAGGTCAGAAGCTAAGCAATATAAATCCACAAATTAACATATTTATTTTACCATTACAGAGTAAATGAAGATGCAATAAAGAAAAAATAGGATATTTTCATCCTCTCCTGGTAAAAAAAAAAAGCTATATTTTAATGCAATAAACCGTCAAAACCATCATGGGATAGATTATAATGCAACTGAATATATTTTAATACACCTGGAATGCGATTGTAACTGTAAATTCAGTGAAAATAAATTAAAATACAACAGTTATCATACAATCTTTTTTTTTTTTTTTTACCAGTTGCTCAGGCAGACTCACACAATGTGGCCTGCCAAAGAAAACTGCCACACGGTACTGTTGACGCAGGTGTTGCCAAGTACCTTTGTGCAATATGGGCCAGCTTGCCATGAGCACCTTTGTGTGCAGACGACCACTGTACTCCTCTCTGGGCAAGCACTGGAGGTCCTTGATTCTGGGATGCTACATTTTGCCGTGACAGATTTTTGTTTTCCTTTCGTCTGTTGTGGTCCTCTGTGAATGCAGCTTTGTAGTGCACTACATAGGCAGGGTCTGAAAGAGGTCGTATGCAAAAGGTGGCAGAGTGCAGGCAGCGCCACAGAGCAAGACCCATTTATCACCACCCAGGAGCTCAGTGACATACCTACAATCACACAAGACCAGATGACACCCATTTAGGGGACAGGCCTGAAATTATTTCTAAAATAAAATAACAATGTCTTATACACTTGTTTACGTCCAGTGATCACCGGGCAGGGCAATACATAAAGTTTGTGCCAACTGCCCCACTTTCTTTGCCTTTTCACCCCCGTACAATTCTTGAATTCCTGTGCCGATAATTACCCTCGAAGGTGGCTTGTAAGATGGGTGAGGCGATCTGGATAATGCCTTGAAGCCCTTGGTGCTCAACAATAGTGATGTGCCTGCAGTTCATGGTGATCAATTTAGCAATTACATTGGTTAGCTTAGTTGTTGTCGCTTTGTTCACAGACTTGCCCTGGCTGCAGGCAGTTCATCACTGCAAGACGTGCACACAACTTAAATGCGTTTGCCAGAGCTTTCAGTAATTTGGCCTGGTATTATGGTATTATGATTAATTTGCTTTTTTTAAATTGTGTGTTAAGGTTTCCAGATTAATTGTGAGCGTTCTAATGTTACTAATGTAATGTAAATGGTAACGATCCTCAACCCTGCTAGAGCTGTTTTACTTTTTGAGAGTAACTACCTGTAACCTGACTGCCACAAATGGAAAGTCATTGGAGAAGGAATGTCTTGCGCCATCTTGTGTTTCTCTAGTCGTTATGCCACTGTCGTGATTTGGCAACTGAGAAAAAACAAAATGTCATGATCTCTTGCATACAGTACTTTGTAGGAAGCTATACTTCCTGTTTAACTTGATCTTTATTTTATGCCTGTAAATGTAGTCAGTGGAACAGAACGCTGCGTAAAGATAATCATGTCTTTGTTTTGTCTATCTCGTTACCTCAGATTACCCATGAAGTATCTAACATTGCCTGCGCTGGCAGCCCCAGTCCTCTGCTTTCTCTAGCATGCCAAAGAAAATTAAAATTGTTGTGTTTTCTGTCTCCGGTTGACAGTGAGCTGGCGATGCTGCTCTCTATGGCTCAGAGCAACCCAGCGCTGTTCCAGATGATCTCAGACAGGGGGACAATTGCGAGGCAGTTAGACAGACTCAGCAAACTGAAAGACCTGATGGAGATTAGCCAGGAAGAGCTGAAAACCAAACAGGCCGAGGAGTGGACCGGCTGGATCACACGCTATAGGTGAGGTATGGGGGGAAAATAAATAGCCGGATAGAGGGAGGAAGATAAGATATGTGAAGGAAATAATGAGCTTGCAGATAAAACAAGAGCAGAGGGGGAACTGCATGGACCGGATAAGAGACTTTTTTTTTGGGTGGATGGTAATTGGGGGGGGTGACTGATAAAGTGGGTGGACAGAGAGAAAAAGGAGGAAATGGAATGTTGAGTCTGCCATTGCTCCCTTACTGTAACTCTCTGACTGAATGTTTTGTGTTGGCACTGCCGCAGGAAGCGTCTGGCCCTTGAGCTGGAAGGCCAGAGTGATGTGCAGGCCGTGCAGGAGGAGAGGGTGAGGGTGATGGACAGCACCAACCCCCGTGTGATACTCAGGAACTACATTGCCCAGAATGCAATTGAGGCGGCTGAGAATGGAGACTTTTCTGAGGTCAGGCCTGGATCCACTGTGATGGTCTTGTCATTTTGTTTGAAAACCATGTTCACCTCGTGCTTTCCCACAATAGTGTCAATTTACAATACTCTTGTTTTAGTTTAGACAGAGAAAATTCAAATGTTACCAGAAAAAGTGTTTCTGTAGCACTCACTTTTTGCATTAGGTGTGATTACAAAGCAGCAAAATGAAGATTTGAATGCAGTTAAGTTACACTGAATTCCCCCGCAGGTCCAGCGGGTGCTCAAGGTTCTGCAGAAGCCTTTTTCTTCACAGCCAGGTCTGGAGCTTCCTGCATGGGTGGGTGGAGGCGAGGGCACCGGACAGGCAGAGAGGGACGAAGGAGAGGAGCAACAGCAAGAGGCGGCGTCTACATCTACAGCCAGAAATCCTGTCCCCTATGACAGCAAGCCCCCGGCTTGGGCCCGTGAAATCTGTGTCACGTGATCTTCATAATAACTTCCTTGATCGTTAGCTTTTCTGCCTAAAATGATGAGAGAGTTTATTTTTCTTATTTTTTTGTATCCAGTCACTGTAAAACTTTCTCTCTTACTTTGGCAGGCAGCGTCAGGGAAGTTAGAATGAGGCACCGCACCCCACAGGCCACCTAGCTGTACCAAAGCAGACAGGGAATAAGTTGAGTTTGGTGGTATAAAAATGTGACGGAAGCCGTGCAGTGAGTAAACCTCACTCCACGACACCTTAAGAGACGCACTGGCGACCGGCGCTAGCGCTTGTGGGTTTTTAGCCTCCTCGTCAGCGGGTCCGCCTCCCGTACCCGAGGTCGCTGGCTCGAGTCAGGAACTGTTCTTGGGAGCAGCCGGATACAAATACATAGAATTACAAATATGATGCTGGGAAAGGGCTTTAATGTGATTATTTTCTTCCATAGCTATACAAATCAACATTGAAAGATATCAGTGTTTAACATATAAAGAAATCAGACATCATATGAGCTGTGTTCCTCATGCATTCCTGCAGAGGGCATTTGTGCTTCAAACGAGGGGTTGCCTAGGTCACCCATAAATCCATGGTAACATTTTTTTACGGTAGAATTTTTGTAGATGCTCCTGAATGCAAGACGCATTAAGTTCAGGGCGGGGACCCGTTTATGAAATATCTGGCATGCAACCAAAGACATAAAAAATTGTTTGTCTTGTTCCCTGCCTGCTTGGTGTTCAGCTAGCTACTAATGATGACTCAGACAACAAGTCCTACAGTGACCTGTCTGACTCTGACAAACAGTGGGGTGTCACCTCAACTTATACCAAATATTTCTGTGTGAGAGTGAGTGAGTGATTGGGAGAAAGAGAGGTTGTTCGGGGGTATGTATTTGGGAGAGTGATTGCTCTTGATCCAATAAGCCGCAATAGAAAAACACGCACAATATATATTCTCCTGTAATAGAAAACATTGCCTTTTGCCACTGTCATAGCATCACTTTATATGCACAGAGCCACAAACATCACTTACCACTTTTTGCTACTAAATATGTTCAGAAAGCATCTAAACAAAACTACAGTAAATGTCGAGATAAGGAAAAGTGGAAACTGCAGGTTAGATTTGACTGTTTTGGTTGGGCTGTGAGTCAAACTTCTAAGGGGAAGTAGATTGCGCCACAAATGAGATGCTATCAAGTATGGTTTTGTTGAAGGGGGAAAACCCATTCACCATTCATGAATCTGTGTGAAGTGATCATCACTTGCTCTGTTTGAACCAGGATCATTCTTGTTTGTTTGGTAAATTAATTGAGATTTGTTGTCATTTCATGTATTAAAACTGGACTTCCACATGAAAAAGGACATAAATGGAAATTAGATTATGTAGCCTATCAGAGTTGTATGTTTCCCTAAGAAATATGAAATATATGGTTGAGCTCTCCCTCAGTTATAGCCTTAATATGTCCTAATAAACTGAGCAGTCAATATTGTGGCTTTTATTTTGTGGCTTTTCATTGTAGGACTGAACTCCAACATCATTTCTGTGTTTCATAACATTTTACTTGATGTTGTCATTAGAATACTCCACACTGATGCAGGCAAATGTTTAAACTTTCTATTTATATAAATGTCATATAGACCAAGTTGCAATCTGAAATTTCCAGTTTGTTTGCTTCCAACTTTTCTTGTTCTGTTTCTGGCAGCATGACACGGTCTTGTATTTCCACGTAGCTGTGTGTCTGCACACCAGGGCGTCAGTAATATTCATGTCCTAGCAAGTCTCTAATATTTGTTTCCCCACTCCTGCACAAAGCATTAAGTGCACAGCACTGAGAATTAGCCTACAGTGAGCGTTAAGTGCCATTTAAGCAGGCCAGGGAATATTACCGACTTTCAGGTTGATATCAACGCCAATCAAAGTCGTGTTGTTAGCCCTGTCTCATATTACTCACATTCCAGTCTCTTATTTACCTTTAATTGTAGGCCTTCAGCAGGACTCGGGAGTGGCTTTTGGTGACCTCAGGGTGCGCCCTGAGCGCCTGACACGCACAGAGCTGCGCAACGATCGCGGGCAAGCGCATAGGTGGGATCCGGGACAATGGGTGTGTAGCGACGGAAGAGACAAAACAGCAAAAGACGAACCTCTCACAGACTTCTTCTATTTGATTTTTAGTAAATAGGATGTCTAATCGAGTCAGACCCGGCTACTACCGCCAAGAAGTCAACAAAACATCATGGGAAGTACCGAGCCGGTACCGGGATCTGAGGCAGGTGGGGACCGGGGCGTACGGGACGGTGTGGTAAGTGAATTCTGCCAAAACAGGAAGAAGCTAAATCACCGATCGCACTGCTGGTTTATGTAGAACACGGTAACAAAGAAAACGACGGAACAGATGGTGCCATACAAGCAGTCGCACTGTGCCACGACCAAACAAAAGAAAAGTATCTACGCTGCGCCGAACACATGCTCTTTCACTTCCTTATATGATGGAGACACTTGCACCCTCGCTTCATTACGACCATCCTGTCACCTTTTGTCGTCTCTAAAAGTATTGATTTAAGAAGAGCGCATGGATGGTTTAGAGGTGAATGGGGTGCGTGTTTACAGTGATGCACAACGATGAAAAGCAGCTTTTTAAAGCACCGTTGTGCGTCTCGCCGCATGCGGCCCCTTTGTTTTCAATGATTAACTCTGTGGGCGGCCTATAAACTGCTCTGACCGACTTAGTGCAACTTAATAACACATGAACAACTTTGACAAATTGTGGTCAGATATGGCTGCAGACGGAGCCGCCTGCTACAGTCAGGTCACTGCTAGTAGCAGATGAGGGAAGAGGAGAGACGAGGTGTGTGTGTGTGTGTGTGTGTGTGTGTGTGTGTGTCCGCGCGCACGCGTGTAAACACAGGTTTGGGCTTGTAGTGAACATTCTTGGTCAGAAGGCAAAATAGTTAAATCTATACTCAGATCAGATTTATTTTCTCCTCCCTGATCACAGGGAAGTTGATAGGTTGGATTTGTATTTCCTCACACTGGCCATACGTTACAGATGAGCTATTGTTCTTTGGAACATAATATATAATTTATCATATGCAATCTTGTTTATTTCTTGCCCTCAGCTCCGCACTGGATTCCAGAACAGACTCCAAAGTGGCCATCAAGAAGCTATACAGACCTTTCCAGTCTGAACTCTTCGCCAAGCGGGCCTACAGGGAGCTGAGGCTTCTCAAACACATGAAACATGAAAATGTAAGCACAGTCTATAATGGCTGCTTAGTTGTGGATTCCATTCTTACATATGTATGTCCTACTTTACATACTCCTGGTTAAATTGGGAATTTCCTCCTGGGCATCTTTAAAAAGGCTTATCCATTTAGTTACTTTCCACCACTGAATTTTACAGTTCTGACTAATTTATATAGAAAGAGGAGCATTTCTTTGTTGAAAATAAACTAAAGGATTGTACCGTTCATCTATGTACAGTAGCCTACGTACCTGTGTAATATATTGTATTGTATTTCTGTCTGTAGGTGATTGGCCTATTAGATGTGTTTACTGCGGACCTCTCTGTGGACAAATTCCATGATTTGTAAGTGCACTTTATGCTTCTGCTACTGCCGCAGGGCAATGTTAACCTACATTTAACCTGTGTGCAGCTTTAGACAACTTATTTCAAAGTTGCATCCCCTTGGAAAGAATCTTGCTCATAATGTTTCCTTCCTCTTCAAGTTATCTGGTGATGCCGTTCATGGGGGCCGATTTGGGGAAGCTGATGAAGATGCAGACGCTCTCACAAGAAAAAATTCAGTATTTGGTTTATCAGATACTTAAAGGGCTTAAGGTGGAGAACTGTACATTGTTCACACATTGTAAACACTTTATTACTTTACTGCTGGATTTTAATTGTACTATTGATTAACACCCTGTTATATTCTTTTATTACAGTATATTCATTCTGCTGGTATAATTCACAGGGTAAGTTAAAATGTGTTGTGTTTGTTTCCAGCATGTAGCCTATGTGTGAGATAAAGACTGTGTTCACACATTTTAGTTTTTCTCTTCCTTGTTTGCTACAGAAAGTTGGTCTTTTTATATACTTTTTTGCAGGACCTCAAACCAGGAAATATTGCCATCAACCCAGACTGTGAGCTAAAGGTACATATGTACAACCCAAACAAACACAACCCATCATGTGTCTTCATTAAAGAAATATAATTTATGGAGTTACAATTTAAAATGGACAATCTATATAATGTCATTGATGCATTGCCCAGAATTTCACTGCCAGTTCTACATTTTTCAGAAAATCCCTACTTTTTACCAGACCTGTGACCTCAGTACGAGTAAGATTTACATTCTTGACTTCATGCTCTGACAGATTCTGGACTTTGGTTTGGCGCGGCAGACAGACAGTGAGATGACGGGGTATGTGGTGACTCGCTGGTACAGAGCCCCAGAGGTCATCCTGAGCTGGATGCACTACACTCAGACTGGTAATGAAGAGCTAATTAAAGGAAAAAGGCACTCTTACACACTGTCATCTTTCATCCGTGTGTCATGTTCAGTGCTCCACATTAGCACTGATTCCTCTTATTTTAAGATATAGCATGAATTCATTGCTTTTGTGTTCTCGCTTGCCCACAACTGTGGGCTGCTGCTTCAGCTAGTGGTTGACTTCATTTTCCAGAGACCTTTACAACCTCCAGGGAACAGGCATGGTCTTGTTACTTCAAATATTTCTTGCACATGCCTTGTGTTTGCAGCACATCCTGGTCTATTGGTGCTACATAGAAATGCAGATACATTAGTATTTATCCCTCTTGACAGATTTCTCTGTATGATTGTGAATAACGAGTCTACAAAGCAGCTAACAACTCCACTTTAGCTTCATTGTAGATACATTGTAGAAATACACCTCATAAATAGAGGACACTTTTGTTCAATTGAGTCAGATGGTCATAATAAGTGTAAGCCACTAGGTGGTGATCTTTTAACACATTAACTTATATTGCAGGCGCTTTGCAGGGGAATGCATGCATGTTTTGCTGCTGATCACTGGCCCACAATGTCCTGTCATTTTAAATCCCTTAAGATGGTAACATAAAATCTGAAAGGTGTTTTTTTCCCTGCTTCTTCCTCAGTGGACATTTGGTCTGTGGGCTGCATCATGGCAGAGATGCTGAAAGGAAGACCTCTTTTTAAAGGCAGCGACCGTATCCTTTCACCTCACTGGCACCTCGCATACATTCATAGAGTTAAACAAGGCATATACTTTGTTGCATGATCATGGTAAAATGTCACTTTTCTCTGTCCTCCTTGAAAGAATTATCTTGTGTATCCAACTTTTCACATTTGACCCTTGACCCCTGTCCTCAGACCTAGATCAGCTGACTGAGATCATGAAGGTCACAGGAACACCAACTCAGGAATTTATATTAAAACTAGATTCTGAGGATGTGAGTTCAGAACTTAAAGATACACTCCCTGATTTTGTTGTAGGACCCAATCGTGCCCCCAAGGCCCAAATCCCCTGAGTTTTAGGAGTTACAAGGTTTGTGCCACATTAAATGTATTCATTTAATCTCTCAGGCCAAACGCTACATCAAAAGTCTTCCAAAGGTGGAAAAGAAAGACCTTCAGGGGATGTTTCCCGCAACTAATCCACAAGGTAGGATGTGCTTGGCCTCTTAATTTGTTGTCTTTTCAGTTTGACAGTGAGACTTGATTTCCTGTCTCTGCTCTTTCCTCAGCCGTGTCTGTGCTTGAGCGCATGTTACTGCTGGACCCGCAGAGCAGGGTAACCGCTGCGGAGGCCCTCACGCTGCCTTACTTCTCTGAGTTCAGAGAACCAGATGAGGAGACGGAAGCACAGCTGTACGACCACTCTCTAGACAACGCAGACCTGTCCCTGGAGCAGTGGAAACGTGAGGATGAATTGGGGGAGGGGGGTAGCTCATTATGCTGCAAGGAAGCAAATAAGAAAAAAAGAGATGAAGGGAAAGGAGGAGGACCATATGAGTTGTGTTTTATTGATCTATGTCCTGCTGTGTCTTCTTTCTTTAGGTCACACCTTCACAGAGATCTTGACCTTCAAACCTGTTGTGCCAGAATCCAAGGAAACCTCACTATGAGACACCAAGAGTCGGCTATGCAGTGTGGGGACCAGAACAAACTAACATGCCTTTTTATCTTGATCTCAACTGAGAAAACTCTTTGATGACAAAGCCTAATGAATGCCAGCGGATGCAGTTCACAAATCTCTTAAGTGCAAGCTGCTGTGTTTTGGAACTTCCAGTTGTGGGTCTTTGCATCAGACATTGTCAACTCAGTTGCTTTAAGTCAGGTAATAATAAATGAGTGGTACATAGTAGGAGAATTTTTTTTTACCAAATACAGCACTTGGTATAAAGTATGAATCAAGAAATGGCAATTCAATTTTTTTGTTTTACTATAAATATATTGTAGTCAAACTAATACTGAAATTCTTGA